ATAGATAGTGTTTTCATGTAATTTAACTACTCATGGAGATGTAGAGGCTGAGTAATTCAATAATTTTATGAAATATATTGCAAATTTCATGATATAATAACTAGTTGTTTGCTAATCCCTTATTACAATTACGTGATGAGCGGCTAGCAAAGCAAGCCAATCAAGTGCCTCAGAGGCAGATGAGAAGCTCCATAGAGAAGGTGAAGGACAATGCATCGCAAATTAAGGGACCATTAATGGTGAAGGATGATGCTTCTAAGAAGAAGGAAGCATCATTGTTGTTTAGTCATTCTTAACCTCATCCAATCATATCCTCTCTTAAAACATTGATTGCTCCTTCATCGACGTCATCTGTTAAAGCCAACCATTGCTTTTTCTTTTTGGAGGTTCTCTAATTAGTGAATGCATGTGAAGAATCAGTGTCTATTTTGTAAAATTTCATTTGTTTAATGCAGATAGGCAATTTAATCATTTGGTTAGAGTGTTTTTAAATATTAAAATTAGTTTGTTCCTTAAAGTTGATTTGTTTTGAGACAACAATTTGCCTCTCAAGGAGTCCCCCCTAGCAATTCTCCCTATTTTCACTAGAAATTTAATAAAATATATTTACAAATATGAGAACGTTAGTTACGGGAGCGCCTAGGTACGAAGTGTCATTTTTGAAGCGCTAAGTTTTTTAAAGTAGTAGTGTTAGGCATTTCTCGTATATTATTCCTAGTATTTACCATTAACATTCTCATATTTACAATTGGTTAACAAATATATTTACAAATTATTTTTCAACAAGCAATTTTAAGATCAGACACAGCAATTTTTTAATTAATTTTTTGGGACCTAAATATTTTTCCCCTTTCCGAATTTGTTCATGGAGGATATGTGTAACCTTTTACCTTTGGTCTTTTAGAGTTTTGTATTTAAAAAAACAGGGGGGCAAATGACCCATAACGATCCTATATAAAACAATCCATTCTGATTACTTACCAATTGATTGAAGTTTATTAAAGGACTGCTGGGAGACAACTATATTTTCAAGTGGGTTACATAGCTTCTCAAGTGATTTACCTTGAATTCACAATTAATTATATGCAATTTTAGTAACCCATATTTACCTAAAATTACATAGAAATTTCACATAATAAGGGTGCATGAGGGATTTAAAATTTTAAAGAAATTATTATGAAATATAAATTTGATCAAATCCAAATCCATAAATTTTATGAATATAAATCTCCATATATCCTCATCACACATAGAAATTCTTATATGAAGTTGGTGTACTTTATTATCCATGCTCTATTTGTTATCTAGAATATTCTCCAAATATTTTATCATTATTGTATATATATCTCAGTCATTATTATGAGATATTATTTGATATTATTATGTAATTATTAATCATTATTAGGTTTCTTTTTCTTAATGTATATATTGTACCCTTCAACTCAATAATAGACAAGATATTTTTTCCATATTTCTCTTGCTCCTTTCATGGTATCAAAGCCGTATTTTTTTTCCCGCTCCTTCTTCCAGTACTACATCTCCATCATCTGCTTGTTTCATCCTTGACACTGTCCTTAGCTATTCTTTTTTCATCTGCCTGTTTCATCTATTTTGTCTTCTTCCTCATTGAATTTTTTTGGAACTTCTCTCTCTGATTAAGCCAATCCATATGGACTCTTTTATTTTGAGATTCTTACTTCATCGTGAAATTCTCATTTAATCATCGTCTCCTCTTGGTCTTTCTTATTTATTATTTTTTTACCCCTTATTCTTTAATGGCAAAATCTGAGGTTGCTCAACCTATTTCTGTTTTATTAACTGGTCTTAACTATCGCTTATGGATGGAAAGTATGCGTGGTTTTTTAAAAGGCAGGAAACTTTGGCGATATATTACTAGAGATGTCTCATTTCCTATTAGATCCTCTTTTGAAGATGACCAAAAATTTACTGATCGGTTGGATGATTGGGATAGTAAAAATAATCAAATCATAACATGGTTTCAGAATACTTCTATCACTAGTATTCATCAACAGTTTGGGTGCTTCGAAATTGCTAAGGGAGTATGGGATCATCTTGCTAGTTAGTATACCTCTTCTGATTTGTCCAACCAATACCAACTGCAGAAGGACTTGGCTGTTCTCAAAATAGAGAAAGGTCAACTGTTGCTTGAGTTTCTTTCTAAAATGGAGGCTATTTGGGACCAACTAGCCTATTTTGAGCTTGCTTTTAAAAATGATGAAGATGCTAAAGTTTTCTCCAAGTGGTGAGATCAACTTCGTCTTATACAATTCTTGATGGCTCTTTTTGATAATTTTGAGCCTGTTCGTGCCTCTCTACTCCACTAAAGCCCACTTCCGACTCTTGAGGATGCTCTTCCTCGTCTCCATTCTGAGGAAACTCATTTACGTCTTCTCCAACAATCCCCTGACATGGCTTTCACTACTCCTGGAAGGAATTCTAAGATTTGTCGTCACTGCCCTCAATCTACTCACACTTTTGATCAGTGTCCATATATTGAATGCAGAACTTGCTAGAAGAAGGGACATATTACTACGAATTGTCCTTCTTTGACTGGTCATTATTGTAAGAAGCCTGGGCATCTCATTGATCAGTGCCCTACTCAACCTCCCAAACCTGATCAAGGGAGGTCATTCAAGTCTAGTTTCTCATCATCCAAGCCTGCTCTATCTATTACCGATGAGCCACCTATTACTGTTGCTTCCACTTTGGGATTCGATACTGTTAAACTTGAGTCTTTACTCCGCAAGCTTATCTCTAGCTCTTCCAGTTCACCTATTGCTTTAGCCATACCTTCAGGTACACCTTCTTAGTATTTTGATTCTGCCTGTTGTAACCATATGACCAGTTAAAAACACTTTTTCTCCTTTATGTCACCTAATACTACTGCTCACCCTATATATACTGCTGATAACTCCCAAATGCTTGTTAGTCACATTAGTATTATTTCCTTGCCCTCTTTGTCCATTCATGATACTTATTTGGTCCCTAACATTAGTTTTAATGTCCTATCTATCGGACAATTAGTTGATATGGGCTATGATGTTTTATTTAACAAACATGGTTGTGTTGTTTCTAATTCTCAAATAGGACAGGTTATCGGGACTGGGTGTAAGGTTGGTCGAATGTTTGAGCTCAATTCCTTGCATCTTCCTGAAATTACTTCTTTTAGATTGTGTGCTCCCTCCACTACTGCTTCCTTTGAATTATGGCATCGTTGTCTAGCTCATCTGTCTTTAACTGCTTTGCATCCTTTACTTTCTACTGGTCTTTTAGGACATGTTAATGTTGAGACTTTATATTATATCTCTTGTCAAACTGCTAAACAGCCTACTTTATCATTTAATAAAAATGACTCTATTACTAATAAGTCTTTTGATTTAGTTCATTCTGATGTTTGGGGCCCAGCACCCACTCCTTCTATAGGAGGCTCATGATATTTTGTGATTTTTGTTGATGATTTCTCTCGTTATACTTGGATTTACATGATGAAAAGTCGATCTAAGTTGCCTGATATCTATATTAAATTTGCTAATATTGTTCGCACTCAATTTTCTAAAGTTATAAAAATTCTTCGCCGTGATAATGCTTTGGAATACCATGATTCTAAATTGCTCAAATTTCTTGATGCTCAAGGTATAATCTCCCAATACTCATGCCCTTACACCTCTAACAAAATGGCCGAGCTGAACGAAAACACCGTCATATTCTTGACTCAATTCGAGCCCTCCTCATTTCTTCTTCCTGTCCTGAATGCTAATGGGGAAAAGCTACTTTAACCGCTGTCTATTGCATAAATAAAGTTCCTACCCCAGTTCTTGGTAATATTTCTCCTTTCGAGCGCCTTCATGGTATTCCTCCTGATTATAGTCTTTTGAAAGTGTTTGCCTATGTCTATTTTGTTCTCCTCCCTCCACATGAAACTACCAAATTGTAAGCTCGTGCCTGTGTTTATTGTTTTCTTGGTTATAACCCTGAGCATAAGGGTTATCATTGCTGGGATCCTATATCTCTTCGCATTCGAATCTCTTATCATGTTTTTTAGGAACATATGATGTTTTCATCCTTAACTAATTTCTCCTCCTTCACCTTCTATTTTCACAGATCCTTTGCTTGATCTTTTTCCAAGTGACTTTCATGTAGATTCCCCTGTAGAGCTCACTACCAATGCTACGCTTGCTCCTGATATGCCTACTGTCATGCCTCAAGATGTTTCCACACAAGCCACGTCTCTTGAGCCCATATTGTCTGATGATACTCGGCCCCATCGTATAAGAATGTTTCTTACCTTATTGATTACCATTTTTCCACTGTTCTCCAATTACAGGAACCCAAATCCTTTAAGGAAGCCTCTTGTGATCCCTTATGGCAGTAAGCTATGAATGAAGAATTGCAAGCTTTAGAGAAAATGCACACTTGGGATCTTGTTAATCTTCCTTCTGGTAAAACTCTTGTTGGTTGTCGATGGGTGTACAAAAACAAGATATTCTGATGGCTCTTTAAAGTAACGTAAGGCCTGCTTGGTGGCCCAAAGGTTTACACAGGAATATGGTGTTAATTATGAGGAGACTTTTACACCTGTTGCACGCATGACTTCTATTCGTAGTCTTCTCGCCATTACTGCTGTTAAGCACTAGTCCCTTCATCAGATGGATATTAAAAATGCTTTTTTAAATGGAGATCTAGAGGAAGAAGTGTATATAAAGCCTCTACCTGGGTATAAGCATCCGAAAGATAAGGTTTGTCATCTTTGTCGAGCTTTATATGGGGTTAAGCAAGCTCCTCGTGCATGGTTTACTAAGTTTAGTAATACTATAAGTCAGCTAAGCTTTACTTGTAGTCCTCACGACTCAGCTCTTTTTGTTCAATCTACTGCTCGTGGTATTGTTTTGTTATTGTTGTATGTTAATGATATGATTATCACAGGCAGTGATGATACAGGAGTCCACGAGCTCAAGATATACTTAGGGTAGCAATTTGAAATGAAGGATCTTGGTAACTTGAACTATTTTCTTGGACTTGAGGTCCATCATAGGAGAGATGGTATCTCTTTCTCTCAAGTCAAGTATGCTATTGATTTGATATCTCGAGCTCATCTTTCTTATGAGGAGGTTGAAAATACTCTTATTGAGCCAAACGTTCACTATACTTCCACTGATGGAACCTTGTTGGATAATCCCACCCGTTATTGCCAGTTGGTTGGGGGCCTCATCTATCTTATAGTGACCTACCCTGACATTGCTTATGCAGTCCACATTATTAGTCAGTTTATGTCAGAGCCTCAAACTACTAATTATGCAGCAGTTCTTTGGATCCTTTGATACATTAGAGGCACTCTATATCATAGGCTTCATTTCTTTGCTAGCTCCTCTCTTATACTACGAGCTTAATTGGATGGGGTGGTGATCATGATAATCGACGATCTACGACTGGTTTCTATATCTTCCTCGGCCATACCCACATCTCTTGGAGAAGTAAGAAGCAAACGTTAGCTCCCGTTCTAGTGCTGAATCAGAATACCGTGTACTAGCAGACACAACCGCTGAAGTACTTTGGCTTCGTTGGTTACTTGACAAGCTATGAGCATCTCAAAGCTCTTCCACAAACATCTATTGTGACAGTGAAGCTTCAATTAAGATTGCTCACAATGATGTGTTTCATGAATGAACCAAACATATTGAGATTGATTGCCACTTCACTCAGCAGCATGTTGTTAAGGGCACCATTCAACTTGTTCCAATTCAAACCAAGTATCAACTAACAGACTTGTTTACAAAGTCTTTTAATCCAGGCCGCTTTCATTTTTTGGTAGACAAACTCAAGTTGCTCTTGATCAAATCATCTTGAGTTTGAGGGAGGATGTTATCTAGAATATTCTCCAAATATTTTATCATTATTGTATATATATCTCAGTCATTATTAGGAGATATTATTTGATATTATTATGTAATTATTAATCATTATTAGGTTGTCTTTTTCTTGATGTATATATTGTACCCTTCAACTTAATAATAGACAAGATATTTTCTCCATATTTCTCTTGCTCCTTTCACTATTTAATAAAATTGTACCTTGTCAATTATTGGATTTATGTAATTGAAATTAATGACTTATATTATCAAAATCTATAATCGTTATTTTCCGGAAAAGAAAAAAGATGGGAGAACATTCATGTCCAGATTTTTGTCATTTTCTTGTGTGTAGTTAATTTTCTTTGAACACACTTTCATATAAAACCGGTGAAGATAAAGGGATCACTTGACTTCAAAGTTGAATAAAGCTTCACTTTGTAGGCCAATGTGAACTTAGAAACATTTTTCTAAATAATTTTCTAAAGATTAAACAAATTGCATAGAATATTATGCCTTTGACCACCGATGTTTTGTTGACAACAACTATTTTAAGGGAGAATCATACCTAAGGTTTCCAGAATGAAAAAAATTCCATCTAAAGCCCAATACATTTTCAACTATTTCTGCAAGTCTAAGGGCCCTTGATGCAAATATGTTTCTTTTTGAAAAGATCCATTTGCCTTTAATCACACAAACTATGTATAATAATGCAAACATTGCATTGTTTATGTATTGATGTTGTCATATTCTTTACGAACATTGTGTTGTACATATACCTGAAAAATTTATACATTATTATTGAACTTAACCACATGGACTATGTATATAATAAATGGACATTGTATTGTTCTCATATGAATCTTGTCATACTCTTTACAGACATTATATTTTTCATGCACTAGAAACTTGCACATTATTGTTTAACTTTTTGTATAATAAATGGTCATTTTGTTGTTCAGGTGTGGACTTTGTCATGTTCTTTACTGACATTGTGTTATACATATAGCTAGCAAACTTATACATTATTGTTCAATTTAGTTCATGAGAGTAGGAATCATAATTGATGAGATTTTTGAAGAATGTGATAATTTTCACATTTGTACGTAATATATATTTATATTGATTTAGTTCATTTTTATCATGAGGAGAAATGGTGGTTTAGTTCATTTTTATGCCAATTTTTTTAATTTATTTCATTCCATTTCTTTCTAGTAACCAAACGGGAACTAAGATTGACAACTTTTTCTCTGTCCGTAAAGCAATGATATGTTACTTAATTTAGAAACTATTTTTACTACCTTAAGTTTGAACTATGACCCAGCTTGTAATTGACTACACAAACAGTTACGTGTTTGAAAATTGTACGTTGCACTTGTAATCAGTGCTACTTTGTGTTGAATCTTCAACTTAACGAACTAATTACGTGAGATAAGAAGCCAAAAAAAAAAAAAAAAGAAACAAACATTCAAACAAACCAGAGAAAAAGGAGTGAAACGCATTGTATATGAGCGAGTCTGTGTTGTATCAAACCGAGGTCAAATCCTAAATATGCTCTTGTTTAGATGTTCAAGGGTATGGGTGGTTAGTTAAGAAAAATTTGAACCCATATATTTCATTATTTTTATTTTGGGTCCAATAAAATTCTAATTTTTTGACATTCATGGTCCATGTTTACTAACATGTCTTTGTTTTAGATTGAGAATGTTTGCATAGTTTTAGGGTTCTGGGCAAAATTGCAACATAATATAATACATGATGAATATTTTTACCCCTAACTCATTTAGACGTGGCAAACACGTGAGACCTGTGACCCTTGCTTAACTAACATTTAACTTTCATTACAAATTTTTGGGAGTTTTATACTATTTTTATGAATGATGAGTAAAATTGCATTATACTTGAGATAAGGATTGTAGCAATTTCTCATAGAATACTTTGTATTATTAGGCATTTTTGGATCTAAACCCTACTATTCATAGCCCATTTATATTATCTCCTCTTTTTGACAAGAACTTATGCTATTTGAATATGTACTTAATGAAGTTTGACTGATTCATTTTTGCATGGTGCACATTGTGGACTATGTTCTGAAAAAGAATAATGTCAAGTCTTTGACTAGACAATATTTTGGGTATATCATGCTTGTTAATCCTAAAATAAATCTTGCTATAATTAAATATATTTCTGCCTTAACATAATTAATTCACATGGCGCAAATTGAAATTGATGCTGTCCTTGAAATTGTTTATCACCCGTACTTTGTGTCTAGTTATTTTGGAAAATCGAGTTAGCCTCAAACTATGAATTCAAAAGTGTCCCCTCCCCCCCCCCCCCAGCTGAAACGACCTCAATAGTTACTATAAGCATATTTACTATTTGCTTGTTTATTTATTCAACAAGCAATATTATTAATAACCACTTAATCAATATCGTTAATTTGGGCCACTCAAGTCTTGCATTCTCTCATGCGGTATGGTAGTATATTTTCTGACTCCATGATCAATTAAGTGAATAAGCGAAGTTATATAAAAGGATTAGGAACCACTTAAATAAGTTCCTAAGTTTGAAACTTGTAAATTAAATAATCACAATATTTGAGACTTTTTCCATTTGAAAGCTAATCCTCTTTTATTTCTAATATATGTCAATGGTACCAACTACCAAATATCATATGAGCCAAAAACAATTGTTGAGAACCGGGAGAGCATCACTATGGAATTCGATATCACATTTTAACCCAAAATAGTAGTAAAGCAATTTTATGAATTTTTTATTTATATATACCTCTTGTTAATCTAATTTTAATTTATTAGATTTAAGATTTTTATTTTTCCCATGTTAGCTTGACTCGATATATATAGAGAGATAGAGTATGATGGCATTATTGAAGCTAATTTCCTATATCAGTAATAACTTGACTCGATATATTTGTAAACTTTTTGAGATCCAAGCACAAGGACTTCAAAAAAAAAAATCATGTTGATAATCGTGAATATAAGCAATGAAATACATGTTGATATTGTTGGACCTTAGGATACTTGCCAACGGGAATAATTAGCTTTGTTGTTGTTTTGTGTGATTGTGTTTTTTGTGAAAATAATCATCAAGGGCCTTAATTTATGTAATGACTCTAAATTTTAAATTAAACAAATTTTTTCTCAATAGATATTCTATTTAAATAAATTTTATAACAAGTGAAAAGTGATAGTTTATAGAAATTTAATTTAGAAACTTTCTCAAGGGTCTAGAGATCAAAATTTTTATGAGTAGAAGTTTGGTTTTAAATTATAGAAAATTTTGTGCTCTTCCTGGTAATTTTTTGTGCCATTTGCTGTGACTTTCCCGTTCTCTTTCTTGTAATTTTTCCAATTGTTCTTCTAATAAGATTTTATCCCTTTCATGCGAAAAGAAAAACAGAGCATCCCATTCTTTTCTTCGCCGCCATTATACACTTCTCTAGATCTTCATAGTGGGTTCACTTCTCTGACTCTTATCAACTTCCTTAGCTCGTTGTCGACTAGGTATTTTCTTTGCTACTGTTGCTTCATCTGCTGTTATCCTTTTCATCCACGTTTGCCGGCCATAGTGGAGTTGGGTTGCTGATTCTCTTTCCCTGTCATCGTTGCTGCTCTGTGTCAACGTGAGGTGAGTAGTACTCTACTTCTTTTCTTGCCATCGGTCTGTTGTCCTCGTTGCCACCTTCTTCCTCTTTTCTGTCTTCATTCTCTGCCATGGTGGAGGGAGGATGTTGCAGTTTTCTGTCATTCTTTCTCTGTCATGAGGCTGTCGGTGGTGAGTGGGAAACTAGATTTCGTTTTTCATCATCTTCACCTACTGAACGTCCATGTGCGATGGAAGCTTAAGATTTTTTCTTCTTCTTTTCTGGTCCATGATTTCTGCTCCGTCTCCTCCTCTTTGTGTAGTTAGGTTGAAGTTCTTCTCCCTTTCTTTGTGCAGTCCGTGAGCTGTGTGTGTGACAATTACTACTGTGCATTGGTTGAGGTAAGACGTTGGTTCTTCCTTCTTCCGTGAGTATCGGGCTTAATATGTTGTGTGAATTACCCTTCTTCCTTCATTGGCCGAAAGTGTACCCTGTTTCTCCATGTTGTTATCTTAAGGTTGTAAGAATATGTAGGTGTTGTTGGATTAAGGTTGGATACTATTTTATGATATGCTGAGCAAAAATTTGGCAAAAAAATTAGAAGATGGAAATTGTTAATTTTGCTTGGACGCTTGCCTCATGATTTAGTTAATGGTGCATGTTCTCATAATAATTGTAAATATACTTGAAAGATTTGTGGGTGAAAATAAGATTGTTAAATTTTATAGTAAAGCCTAGAGAAATTATAAATATTCCTCGAGGGAGTATATGTTCTTTTTTTTTACACACAAGTTGTAAAGTTGAATTGCTCATTGAAATTGTGTTGCACCTAACAGGAAATGATTATATATTTGGATAATGAAAAGTG